GGTATGCCGTCGGGGTACATTTTGGCGAGGTTCTCCGTGGCGATGCGGGTTATGTTCTCGTCGCGCTCGACTTCGTTGGCAATGCGGAAGGTTTTTGGGCCTTCGATGTCGTCGCCTGTTAGGCGCTCTGGTCGGTCTGTAACTGGGTCGACTTGCGCCAGGTCGTCTTCGTAGTTCATACGCCATGGATCTGTTCTTCGCTGGCCCTGGGTGAGGACATCTCGGGCGTCAATTGTAGATTCGGCGGCTTTGATGGCGGCGATTTGCGAGGGTGTGTACTTTTTCTCCAGCAGCGTCGTCTCCGAGGTGTCGTACTTGGGGTACTCTGCTTCGGCGGCCTGGTTGAGGAGCTTGAGGTCGTCGGCCTTTATTGACGGGTAATGCGGTCTCCTCTTGCGAGCGGGTCTGGGTGCGGAAGCATGGAAAGTGCGTTGCGGAGGCGGTTTAGGAAGCGTCGTCGATGCTGCTTTGGTAAAGAGACATCTTGCGGGGCGGCAGACGCTCATTGTTGGCCTTGAACCTCCGGGTGAGGGCCAATTGAGCGCGGGGAGGCGGTAACAGCGGGTGGCCTGCGCGGCGTTGTGATGGTCAAAGTGAAGTTCGGAAAGTTCAGCGTGACTAAGCGGGATGGCAGTAATCGCTCCAGCCAATCGCCGTCTCTCTATCCCAGTGACTAACGCGACTTTCTCTTTTCTCCAATTTCACGATTTACTGCATGTACTCTCGGATTCTTGCTCGACCGCTCCGGACACTGCTGGTCAGTAGCCGATATATCCAGATTGCTAGATACAGAATGGCTTCGTCAGCGGACAATGTCGCGCCTGTTGAGAGCAACGGCGCGAAAAGATATGCCGAGACGCCTCTACGGAGCGAGGAAGGACCACGAGGCAACTACAGATTCAAGAACAAGCGCATGAAGAACGGACATGCTGAGCAGAGCAAGATTTTGAAAACAAACGGAACCAATGAGGAGGTCTTATTGCAGGATGTTACTGCGCTCATCAAGAACCTCAATATAGAAAGAGAAGGAAAGGAAATCTCGACAACACTGGCAGAAAAATTCAAGGAGATCGAGGTTGAAATCAAAGAAATTTCTTCCACTGGAGATGGTCTCGGTTTCCAGAAAGATTCAGATTCGGACCAGGTCTATGTCGTACCCTTTAGCGCACCAGGAGACATCGTAACAGCACGGCCACACAAGCACTTTGAGAAAGAAAAGTACTCCATGGCCGACTTCGTCAACGTGATCACGCCATCACCCCAGCGCGATGACTCTCTAGTAAAATGTCCCTACTTCGCCAGCTGTTCCGGCTGCCAATTCCAAATGCTACCCTACGACACGCAACTCGCGCACAAGAAGACCATCGTCGAGAAAGCCTACAAGAACTTCTCCAACCTCCCACCAGAGCTCATTCCCACCATCGGCGACACGATCGGATCGCCATTGCAATACGGCTACCGCACAAAGCTAACCCCCCACTTCGACGGTCCGCCCGAAGCCCGCCGCAGCGACGGCCGCAACGGCATAAAGCGCACCTTCAAAGAAGTCCCACCCATCGGCTTCATGAAGAAAGGCACCCGCAACACAATCGACATAGAAGACTGTCCCATCGGCACAGACGCCGTGCGCGCCGGCAACAAGCGCGAGCGCAGACGCGTCGCAGACACCATATCCACCTACCATAAAGGCGCCACCCTCCTCCTCCGCGAGTCCACTACCCGCATCCCCAAGACCGACTACGACGCCGCCAAAGAAACCGACAGCGACGCGGTGATTGAAGACAGAGGCACGCACATCCACCGCAAAATCTGCATCACAGACCCCAACGCCAAATCCACAGAATACATCTCCGACGAATTCCAATTCGTGAATCCAGCCGGTTCTTTTTTCCAGAACAACAACTCCATCCTCCCTGTCTTCACACAGTACATACGCGAGAACATCTTGCCTTCACCCGGCCAAGACCACAAAATCACGCACCTCATCGACGCGTACTCCGGTTCCGGTCTCTTCACCATCACGCTCTCAGCGCTGTTCAAATCATCCCTTGGAATCGATATCTCATCCAGCAGCATCGAGTCCGCGAGTACGAACGCAAAGCTGAACAACTTGCCGGAATCTTCTACGCGGTTTATCGCGGCGGATGCGGCGAGGCTGTTTGCTTCTATCAAGTCGCCCGCGGAGGAGACGGTCGTTATGTTGGATCCGCCACGGAAGGGCTGCGATGAGTCTTTCTTGAGACAGCTGGTGCAGTATGGTCCTGCGAGAGTGGTGTATGTGAGTTGTAATGTGCATACGCAGGCGAGGGATGTGGGGGTCTTGGTTGGCGGGATGACGGGGGTTGATGGGGGTTTCGGCAAGGGAGAGGGGTGCTATGAGATTGAGAGTTTGAGGGGCTTTGACTTTTTCCCGCAGACGGGGCATGTGGAGGGGGTTGCTGTGTTGAGGAGGAAGGGCGGTGGGGAAAAGGGTGTTAAGGACGTGGAGTCATGAAGTTGATTAAGGTTTCTCTTGGTATGGTTAGTGAGCGATCAAAAGCATATCGATCTGATGTGTTAATTGTCTTCTCATTGTCAAATGTTTTGCTGTCATCTCGTGCTCGCTCAATAAGCCATGCCAACATCTACACACATTCCCTACGATATCTCGTCGCTTATGTGCTTCCCGGTCCACCCAGCAGCGCGAACCTTCGGACGATGCTGGGACCAATCTCGTCATATTCCGCCTTGGTGTGGCAGTAGCTCTTGAACTCGGGAGTCTGACCGAGCAAGCTGCCTCCGAACCATGGGCCGTGTCTTTGCCTCTTGTGCGTAATGACTTGTACGTCCAGACCACCACTCTTTGCGCCTCCGCTCTTCGCTTCCGAAGCCTTGATCCTTGCGTCGACCATGTGCCTGATATCGCGCTGCAGGCGTCGGCCAAAGTCCTTGTATAGTGTTGATCCACCCGAAAGCACAATGTTCTTGTATAGCCCTCTGCGTACATCGATGGGAGAGGATTGGATGACGGTGTCGACAATGGTAGGTAGCGGGGTGAGAAAGTCGGAGGAGTAGATCTCGGGGTTGAAGAAGATCTCAGGCGCGAGGAAACGTTCGTAGCCGACATCGACGGATGTGGTCTTGCCGTTGGGGTAGTTGACGGTGTGCTTCTTGAATCGGTCGTCTGACTCGCGGTCGAAGCGTGCGAACTCCTTGACAATATCAGGGCATACGTAGCAGTATTCTTCCTTGATGCGCTCGGCAGTCTGGAGGGAGGAGTCGGGCTCGCCGCGTTCTCGGAGGAGCGATTGTACGAAGTTGGTGATGTCGCGACCGGCGATGGGGACACTCTTGATTGAGGAGCCGATGACGTAGCCTTCAGCAACGGGGATAACGTGCGTGACACCAGCTCCGGAGTCGATGACAGTTCCGGTGAGGGATCGGTCCTGCACCTTGGAGCTAGTCCATGACGCGGCCAGGGCGAGCACAGCTTGTACGGCAATGTAGAGACCGGCGACGTTGAACGACTCGAACATGATTTCGGCGGTGGCTTCGCGGTTCTCGGGAGGGTTCAGTGGCTATGGCTTGTCAGCTCCATCCTCCAGCAATTGTAGAGAGTTATCGTACGGGCTCGGTGAGGAGGAAGTGGTGGTCCTCAGGCTCCACTCTCAGGTACTTGAATATCGAGTTGGACCAGAAGCGTTCCATAAGGTCCTGCATGCCATTAGTACACCCTACCGTCTCTCTGCATTTCTCTCCATACCCAGTTGTCTATCTGACCATGCCTGATCGGGTAGTTGATGCCATAGCCCGCGCCTCCAGCTGCGGCCAGAGCTTCGTCGCCGATGAAGAAGTCGAGGTCCTCAGTACCGCGCTTTCCAGACAGATGCCCACCCGGCCCGGCTCCACCAGTCAGGAATGAGGGCTTGTTCGCAACAGCTGGGCGTCCAGAGCCCGATCCGCCGCTACCGCCTGTTGGGCCTTTGGTAGCTATCGCGGTGGGGAAGACGAAGGAGGGAGAGTCGTTGCCGGCAAAGCCTGGTGGATTGTTATTAGAGGCCAGCTCCACGAATTGGATTGATCAGCATACCGAGCTTCGAGTATCCCGTACCGCTATAGCCAGTGTCAGTACTCGATCGCAGCGTGGGTGCCCATGGGCAGCGGGTAGCTTACTTGTCCATGACAACGGCGGGGGTTTGAGACGCCATCTTTGCTGCTGCTTGGCACAAACACGAATATGCAACGCAGCTCAGGTGATGCCTGGTATAAGAGCAGAAGCGCGTGGGCTGGGTGTCGAGGTGGCTTCGTCAAAGAGGTGACGACGGCGGTCGGTGCATGTTGTCGAATCAGGCACCGCCCCGCTCCGCCCTTGGCAGCGGAGGGAGACGAAATAGTGGGGAAGGACTTGCTCACTTCGTCGACACGATCGCTCCTACCTCCCTGATCTGCCGTGCCTACCGCTTCAACAGAGTCTGTGTCATACCGCAAAATACTGCAACCACATGGCCTAGGCTGATGCGCAGAGGAAAGAGCCATCGCAAGCTCATTTTTGACATCGCTGCTAACCTCCTCTCCACTGACTGTGCACCTACAGCGCTCATCGAGCATATCTCCCACTCTCATTGCTCACCCCGCCGCCACAGGTCCCCATCGCCTTTACATCGGCTCATCCTCTCCATTAATTTCTCATCGTTTTCCCCCTCAGTCACCTCGTCTGTCCTGGAATTACCTATCTTCTCTTCCGAACCTACACCTGCCCGTGTCTCGAATGACCGCTTAACGACCGTTTCCACAGTCAATCTCACAGCCGTCTGCCGCTACCGCCCACTCTAGAGCGACATCGCATCATCCCAGTAATCGGCCAAACGTCCCCGCCCGGCAACAAACGCTCGTCGCGTCTGTACAGATCCAAAACTGCAGCCAAGCCTCATCTGAGAACTGTTATCTCTCACTGCATTGCACTGGATACGTTCGGCCTGCGCTTCCGCGACCTTTGTCGACGCTTTTCCACTCACAAAGGCATGTCGGTCCCTAGTCGTCACTATGCACCCATAGACGGAGCTTATCATATTGATACGCACACACGCAAAGCCTCGCGTAGTCCGCCAAACGATGATGTATGCTGCATATATGTTCACGCTGGCGCCGGCTACCATAGTCACCAGAACGAGAGGATACATCTGGAAGCGTGTAACGAGTGAGTTCTCTGGTGTTTTCTCTAGGTTGTCCCGCGTACGCTCATGCTAATATGCGCAGTGCCGCGCAGCTGGCCATGTTGATTCTGAAGAACGGCGGCTCAGCGCTAGATGCTGTCGAGGCTGCAATCAAGACATTGGAAGATCGAGAAATCACCAATGCTGGCTATGGAAGCAACCTCGCAATGGACGGTGTGGTTGAGTGCGATGCCTCCGTGGTCGATCATTACGGGCGTAGCGGAGCTGTCGGGGCCGTCGCTCGTAAGTCTTGCAACTTGAGGCTATAGCCCAGCACTGACAATGATTGCAGAAATCAAGAACCCTATCTCGCTAGCACGAATGGTTCACGACCACACGATGAGTCCACTTACGCTGCGTCGAGTCCCTCCAAACCTCTTGGTGTCGCAGGGTGCCACCGACTTTGCTGTGGAGATGGGTATGCCCATCCTGCCCCACGACGCACTTATTTCTCCCGCCGCGAAAGAGCGCTGGATGCGGTGGCGTTCCGACTTAAGGTCGGCCGAGCGCAAGTCCAGGAAGAGCGGCGCCCACCCGTCCTGTTGGAAGATCAGGGACAATGTGGCACCAGCGGATGAGCGAGCGCACGAACGCGTGCGCGAACAACACACCCAAAACCTGCTACGCACCCACAAATCCCTACTGCAGTCACAGTCACCTCCGCATTCCGACGACGTGATGTACGACCAAGCCGAGAATGCATCTTCCGACCCTTCAGTTCCTCCTTCCGAGCAGTCGTCGAGCTCTTGGATAAGCGATGAGCAGACCAGCGCACCCGAACTGATCGATCAAGCCCCATCGCCTGCTGACGTGCGCCCACCTACTGTTGCGGACGCTTCTCGCAATGCCTTTGTCAACAGCACGCAACAGATCCCTACCCTGAAAGAGTATCGTCGCGATGCAGGCTACGAGAGCATTATGGAAGATGCGCAGATGGAGGACATGACCTACGCACCAAAGCCACGCAAAGCATGGGCTGATGGGTCTGGGGAGGATTTTGACTCTGATTCGAGCGCGCAGACAGCAAAAGGCAATCCCGTGGAGAGCTCTCAGTGTGATGGTGTCGACACTCGTCTGCCACAGACTCCTGACGAGAACTCAGTCAATTCGAAGTTCGCTACCGCATCGACACCTCTGAGTCACGTCAGAGAGACCGCGCCACTACCGCCGATGCCATCTAATGCGAGCCGCCATGACGCCGAGGAAGATCACATCACCGACACCGTTGGGGCTATCGCAATAGACAGCTGGGGCAACATTGCTTGCGGTGCATCATCTGGTGGCATTGGCATGAAGTACCGCGGGCGTGTGGGCCCAGCAGCTCTCGTCGGCGTTGGTGCTGCAGTCATTCCCGTGGACCCCGACGACCCCGAGCAGACCTCTGTCGCGACTGTCACAAGCGGAACCGGTGAGCACATGGCAACCACCATGGCCGCTACGGTATGCGCCGAGCGTCTCTATCAGAGCGTGAAGAAGAGCCGTGGCGGTGACTACGTTGAAGTTACCGAGGACGAAGCTCTCAAGGCAATGATCGAGAACGAGTTCATGGGTACACAGTCCTTGTCGCTTTCATGTGCGATATACTAACTCCATGCCAGGCCACCCAAGTGTCAAGCACAGCAACTCCGCAGGCGCCATCGGTATTCTCGGCGTTAAGAAGATGCGCTCCGGCATGCTGCTCTACTACGGACACAACACCGACTCGTTCGCCATGGCATCTATGTCATCTGAAGACGACCGACCCGCTTGCTCAATGTCGCGCAGCAACGGCAACGGCCAGATCGCACAGGGTGGAAGGATGATGCCCATGAGGCGCAACAAGAAGACCAAGTCTACCCCTCGCCGATAACCGTGGTCATGCGCGGATACCTGAGCTGCTGCCCTAAGAACCTACATCCCTAATCACCCTCAGCCTCACACCCTTGGTGCTGGCCGAGGAGCGTTCGTCACTGCCTACATCCTTGTCCTCTTTTCATTCGTGTAAAAGCATATGCATCTATGGTAGTTTTATACCCCTGCATGGTGTTTCTCTTTCCTGTCCTTCTTCCATCAGCGAGCGGTGCTTTAGAAATCCCACAACAGTATTGTTAGCCAAGAAAAGTTCATCTGTGTTTGCATGGAGAGAGATGTAGTGCAAGGTTTAGACGATTAGCGCTGAAATTCACGAGCATCATTGCATCCAACTCGCATGTACCTCTAGTACATATGTATCTCAATAAACGTAAAGGCATTTCTGCTGTGTACTTCCATTGTTCCGAAGGACAAAAAGCTCCGAGCGTTGCCGCAAGAAACTATCGACAAGCTCAGACTCCAGCCCTCAGTCCGGTACAACCTTGGATTCTCTGCTCAGTCCAGAGCGCCAATCCTTGCTTGCGATACAAATCTTCTTCTACATGTTCCTCATCGGCCACGAATACCATGTTTTGACCTGCGACTCGATAGTCCGGCCAATGCAGACTAGAGTTTCCAAAGTTGGGGTCTAGGCCATGTACGAAAGACGCCCACGCTCCACTCATATGTTGAGCAAGGCGGGAATCGGAAGACCGTGGACCGTCAGGTTTACCGAACACGTAGCTCATCTATGTTGCGCGTCAATCTCGGCGTTGATGCGAGTGAGAGGGTACGAACTGATGGGTCGACTTACCTCAGAACTGTGAGTTGCTCCAAAGAGTACAGATGAATGCCAGGGAACCTGAGCGAATCTGTAGCTGTAGACAGGGTTGCGAGCTTGCGCATATAGCCCTGTCATCCAACGGCGAACCGAGTGCTCGATCGCATCGCCGAAGATCAGATAGCTCTAGGGTTCGGTATCAGCCGGAGCTCCATCTAGATGTAGTAAGACGAACCGTTTTGTCCATAAATCCAGTTGGTAGCACGCCGGGGCCAGTGTTATGTGGGACACCGGCAGTTGGATCATCCGGGTATAACTCAAAAAGCTTGTTAAACGCGGAGCTTTGGATTGCATAGCTTGCTGAAGCTTATCAGTCTAACCCGATCATGTCTGCAACGGGGCCATGACCTACATCCATTTAGACCTATCAGAGCCTGCTCTATGTCCACTGTTGTGTTGGAACCGGGCTTGACAAGAATGTTGCCCTCATCGTCATTCACTCATGTTTTCTTAGTTTACTTCACTCAATTCTCTTAGCGAAAGTGTAAACTTACCACCCATTAATAGTGGAACAGAGACTTGCTTTGCTTGATTGAACAACTCCACAGGGTGTGCCGTCATAAAGTTACCATCAATAGAAGGTAGGAATAGGTCGTAATGCTGTAAAGAAACGTTGAAAAGTATCTCGTTGTCGAGTGAGCGTAGACACGAGAAGTTTTCACAACCAGTCTTGTTGAGAAACGTTTGATAACGAGCCTCTCGAATGGATGATATATTCCAGTTGCATGGCATGTCGTAGAAACTGCCACTCTGAACGATAGCTAGAGATGTTATTATCGTTATCGTGGTTGAAAGAAGAATGAAGCTTACCTGCTCGGAAAAGGTGGTCATCTCGACCTCCATATGCGACGAGGTGTTGGAGGATACTAGTGCCACCAGCACTACTCAAGGTCAGCATATCACTTGCATGCATAAAGCGACCCGCTAACCTTTGTCCCATGATGGTGACTTTCGAAGGAGACCCACCGAATGCAGCGATGTTTTCTTGTACCCATCGGAAAGCAAGTCGCTGGTCGAGCAAACCAAGATTCTCTACACCAAGAGAATGTGGTTCATCTCCTGAAGGGAATCCGTAAAACAAAAGTCTATACTGAATGGAGACGAAGATCTATAGAGGCCTTTAGTAAGCTTATATGATTAAGGGTGGCATTCAGGAATCTTAGATCACCCACAATTGGCGTGCCCTGAGCGACAGACTGCTGAACTAATGACGACCAATGTTAGCCATGATAGTTTTGCGAAGGGAACAAAGGGCGTACCAATATAGCTTCCGTTCTCCGTAGGGGTTGCGGCGCTGCCTTGCCAGAATCCGCCGCCATGAATCCAGATTACGACCGGATGTTCGCTGGAATCAGCTATCGTGGAAGATGGGCGGACGATATTTAGTGTTAAGCAGTCTTCACTGAATCTGGAACCTGAGGGGGGAGACCCTGTTCCGTGACAGACCGTGGAATAGTTGCTGTACATGTTCTTAGGTCAGTGTCAATTGAATGAGCTTTCTACTCACCCGGCATCAAAAGCACCGTCGAATTCAGTTGTCCGACCAGTCGAAATATTGAATCTGGGAGGGGGGTCCGCATATGGGATGCTGAGGAAGACATCCTGACTAAACTCTGGCAGCGAACGCCCGATGACAGTACCGTTTGTTATGGTTGCCGTTGGCCTTGATGCAAAGCAGCATCCCCCCATGGTAAGAACTAGATGAAAAACGGCGGATAGTTGCATGATTGCACGATCTCAAGTTTGCTATATTCCCAGGGTGAAAACGAGTACCAAACTCATGCTCACAAGAAAGGGTCATGGACAATTGTATAGCGCTAGCTGCACATCATCGTAATCTTCCACCGCATTGATTTAGTTGTCACTATCAATCTGCGGGGAGACTTCCTATAGTGGGGAAATCTTCTCTAGTCGCCCAGGAAGCATGGAGACAGCATTTTGCGATGAAGAAGGGAACACATACCCGCTGCAGATGGCAGATACCCGGGAGGCGTTGGCGACAATAAGCGAGCCGAATCGACGCCGATAGAGCTAGCAGGGGTTTGCCCTGCACGCTGCCTCGGCATGATTTCAAGCGATCCGTGTGAGATAAGGGGCCGAGTGGGGAAATGTCGACCTGATCATTGGCACTTGCGCAAACTCCGATCCCCAAGAACAGGAAGGCTGCGATGTACTCCGGCAACAACTAGTCATGCCACGCAATCCGCGTTTGAGACGCGTACCTGATGACATTCGAGTTCGAGTTTCACGCGCGTAAGTGATCAGCTCATCTTGCGGCTCCGCGATACAGCAATTTTTCGCCGTGGCAACTGACACGCAATGCAGATGCGCAGTCTGTAGGGCTCGCAAGAGCCGCTGCATTGCACGAAATGTAGGATCTTGCGAGAGGTGTGTGGAAAAGGGTGAAGAGTGTGATTTATATGCAGCTCAAGCGTCGGGTTCTCCCGCCACCAGCTCAAATGCCGCTGTCAACGGCCAGCAGATGGACAAACATCCTCATGGCTCTGGACATGAAGACAAGGACGTTGGAACCCCCTCTTCGATGCCGACAGCTCAAGTTAGAGTCTTGGGCCGCCCCGCAGACAGTAACGTCTCACTTGCTGCGCCAGAAGCAGTTCAGACTTCATTTGGGAAAAGCCCAACAGACTCGAGGTCAGACTGTGGAGCGCAATCGCCTGGTGAGCCGTCACCGGTCCCCAGCGTAGAACCAGAAGATGCTATTCTGATTGTAGAGGATTTTGATCGGACTCGTACGTGTTGAGTGTGACATCAATACATTTGCGTTCCGTATACTCACTTTCGTCTAGAATATACTGGCCTCCGTTCCAATGAGAGTTTCCTTCTTTGTGTTCAAGACGTTTTGCATTCCACTACCCGAAAGAGGGTCCTAGATTCAACCAACCGAAGCTCGTTGGTACGTCGTATATCTGGTAGCTATTGTTAACAGTGAGGTTGCTTTTATTAACGCCGTGTTAGGAAATGGCCAGCATCGTCAGGCCACCGCCTGTTCACAATAAAGAGTCAACCGAGGCAATGAAAGCATTCCCTCCTCAAGAGATCGCCGCATTCCTTGTTTCCACATTCTTCTATCACGTCGAAGCAACGTTCTTTTATTGCGACAGAGAGTGGTTCTATACTACTCTCAACAGCTATTACACCGGCACCTCATCCGGAGGTGCGATTGACGATGCATTTATTTGCTTCGCTTTGCTTGTCTTTGCCTTCGGTAGCCAATTTGCGCATTTGAGATCCCGACCTACATCCAACGACCCGCTTCCTATAGACCCTGGAAAGAACTTCTACGACAGTGCTCAGAAGCTTATTCCAAGGGTCATTGACACATGTACTCTGAAGGGAGTCCAAGTGTGTCTACTGGCAGGTCTGTACAAATTGCCATACAACCTGCCAGACACGTCCTATCTCTACCTTGGAATGGCTATGAGGATGTCAATTGCCAGTGGGCTGCACCGCAAGACATTAGCCGTGACATTGGATCCTCGAATTACGGAAGTTCGCAATCGTTTGTGGTGGAGTGTTTATTCTATAGACAAGTATGGCACATCCTTTCTTACGATTGGCCTCAGCTAATGCTGTCTCAGACGCACAAGTATTGCTTTAGGTCGGCCTTCTAGCATCGCAGAAGACGCGATCGATGCACCCTTTCCTAAACATCATCCGTCGTTGGACAACCTCGAATATCAATCGAACGTGCAACATCAAATTGAATACTTGAAGTTAACGCGTATCATTTCGAAAATCGTACAAAACATGTAAGCGAAGGCCTCAAAAGCGATTGTTCGATGCTGACGATCACTTAAGTCCTCTCGAATCGAAGCCACCATGCATCAAAGATCTGTCAGAACAATTGAAGGAGTGGCGATCTCAGCTTTTCTCCAATCTCCACCCCAACGACCTGCTTCCCAGCGAACGGAATTTCCGTACGACCGTTCACCTGCATATACACTATCACTGGGCGTGGATCCTCATGGGCCGTGCCTCCCTTCTCCAAGTCTCGCGTGAACGCATTCAAGCTTTGTCGGACTCTGCAACCCCCGCACCGGAACAGCCCCAAAGTCGGACGGACCTTGCGACCCTCTGCGTCGACGCTGCGAAGGCGACGATTGAGCTAATACTGGTCTTGAAGAAACACAACTTGCTCTGCCGCTTCTCGTTCACAGATCATCATGCTTCAGCCGCAGCATTGATCATATTGATACTCCATAGTATTCTGCAGCACGGAGACGAGACGAGCAGAATCATAGACGATGGCGTCGACATGTTACGTTACATGGCACATGGAGGCTGCCGTGGAGCTTCGTCGGATCTTCATACTATTGAGCAACTCAGGAGACTTGCTTCCGACTTGCGCCAGAAAATATACCGAGGCCAAGGCGGGCTTTCAGTTGGAGGCTCCATGCAACCAACATCTATAACGGCCTCATATCAAGCTTGGGTGAACTGGATGTCAGAGCAAGAATCATCTAGAAGTCATGAATCGCGACCGGACAACTTGTGTTCTCAACTCGATCCAGAAACTCTGCCGAGCGATTCTGGGATACGCGCTCACGAAAGCCCTCTCATGTACGGAGTCGGCCCCAATAACAATACGCTTGATACTCTGGACTATCGCTGGCTTGATCAAGGAAATGCTAACTGGAACTTCGATGCATTCAACGGATCAACTTTTCAAGGAGAGGTTCCTCGAGGGTTTGAGTGGGATGACGGCCGGCTAGACGTACTGGATATGACGCAGCTTCTTGGAGGCTACACCGGGCAGACTACCTATGGCCAGGGTTGAGCATACTCTGAGCATGGCCCCGGGCTCAATGTTTCGTTGACGTTTTCCATTACCTGTCTCAACGCCGAGTGCTAGGTATCTTTGGAAGTATGTTCAAGGACATACTGGGATATAAGACGTTGGTATGACCATCCATCCACCACTGCTCATCGGTCCAATTCATGCGCTCATGAAAGAAGACGTCAGAATCCCAGACATCGCCCACATCCCCGCCTTCCAATCTGACAAAGGATGTACCTTCCGTAATTTTCCGTATTATCTTGGAGAAGTTTTCTGGGAAGGTCGGGATGCAGTTATACTGTGGAGAATGGGGTCTGGGGGGTATCGGACGTCCTTTTCGTTGGAGTAGCTCATAAGTCGCTTCTTGCAAAGCTGCGGCATGTTTGAAGACTTGCCAGAAGTCAGACCCGCCATAGATCACTAGAGTATAGGATCGAGCAGGCATCCCAAGCGTTGACAACTCCAAAGCTGCTTCGATCCAGAGCATCGTCTCCTGGAAGCACCCTGACATGTCCCAGACGTCGCCCCGATCCGAGCGGGGCTCGGGGTATCGCGAGGCAGATATCGCAAGGCGTCTTTCTATCTGGAGCTTGGGATTCTCACGGCAGAAGGGTATGAGTCCACGCGCATGATGCTCAGGACGTGAGGCAGCAATCCTAGTTTCATTGAGTATGATCGCATGCATGTTATCTCTCTTTTGTCGCGGGAGCTTTTGCACTGAGCGTGTTAGTGGAACAATTCACGATGCGGAGCAAGGGCAGGATCTGTGTGGGCGCTGAAAGTCTAAAGAGGTTACTTACAAAAATCGATCGCGGTGGAGGCTGCGGAGAAACACCAAAGTCGGTAAAGATTCCAATACTCAAGATGATCCGCTACATCCGAAAAGTAGAACGTTCCATCATCGGTTACTGATAACCGGGTATCTGTATCCCCTGGCATGCAAATGAGCGCTTCCAATCTGGAAAGCTCGTCGTCGTTCGGTAGACTCCACGAGTTAGGATGCCAGGAGAATATATCGTATAAGGCGCCTTCGATAAAATAGTTGTTCTCGTAGAAGAAGCCGCCATCTAGGGGACATCTGCCCATACCAAACATAGTGCACGCGAGTCTTGCGAACATGGGCGGATTACGGTTCTTTGCCAGGACCAGAACGTGTTGAAGAGCGTCGCTGAAGGATATTGAAGCGAGGCGTTCGCGGTTTTCCGCTGTACCACCAAACTGATCGTACCGGGTCGCCACTGTCGGGGTGAGCATGCGAAGTCAGCGTACCTTTCACATACTCTTCGCACATCTACAACTTACCTGAGTGCATTAAGCATCGCTTGAACCATCCTTGAACCGATGGGAATCGATCGTGCAGGTCAAGCCAGTCTTCATCCTGCAGCAGTCCGGCAACTTTGATCAACATCCGCCTCTTTTGGCGGTCCACATATCTCAGTACTGTAACAGTTCGTCTTAGTGCAAAGACAACACTCTAGGCCCAAAGTATCACTTACAGCTCTGGAACCGCCCAGCCCTCGAAGCAAGTCCCAAAAACGCCTGTCCATCATCCTGCGAAAGATGAGGACTAAACTGCAACTTGCGGAAAGCGCAATTCTTAAGCTCCTCAGCAGCGATGCGGCACGAAATCATGAGACCAAGGCGAACAACGTGTTTAGACTCTGATGATGTTGGTTGCTCGAGCATCTTCCCGGTCTCACTGTCGTAATGGTAGCCATTGTCGCCTTCTCCTAGCGCGTAGTATTCATAGATGAAATCCCGAATCTCGCGGGATAGTCGGAAAAGCGGGGATTGTGTCTGGCCAGAGTAGTATTTCGTTCGCGGGGCGGTCATGAAGGGGAAACCATTCCAGTGCGCGAACTTTTTGGACGCCATGATTGCCCCGATCTGGAGATGGGGCAAGGAGATTTTATATCGTCCTGCATGGCGGAAGCCGCAGGGTATGACTGTACTCGTAGATGCGAACACAGACCGTGGGTCGTCGCCTTGAAGGCCTCTGGTTCCCAACAAACAAGCGATCGTTGATTGGCTGACGCCTGGCGTGACTCAGCCAATGCGTCACTATCCGGACTGCGCTCATTGACGAGCCATGAAGGCACATTCTCCTTCAGGCTACGGCGTCACACACAAATCAGTTCACGTTATTCACACGCATGGTAGTGGTAATTGCCAGATGGAGCGCCAACTGCGATTGATGAAGTGCCACTGCGCTAGCTCCGCCCCGCTCCGCCCTCGGCCCGGAGTACGCGTCCAACGTGTCGCAGCCGCAGCTCTTCGTCTCCACCAACTATCCAACACCCGGCGATGCATCTGGCGCGGGATGTGTCCATCTTGCCACGACCACCACTGCACCTCCACCCACTGCCTCATGCCACGCGCAATGAAGCCCAACGGCTGGTGGCGTAGGCTACCGCGCCCTCGCTCTCACTGTTCACCTTCACCGACCGCCTCATGCCCGCGCTGAGACGACTGCCGAACACGCAGCGACGTCCCGCATTCGACCATCTCACATCCTCAGCTCTGTTGCCTCCCTCCCACTGGCCATAGACCACACTCTTGACTCCATGTCACTGCTCTTCGCCTGCGTCCTTCGCCCCTCGTCCGCGCCGAAGCGGCCCGCGCCAGGCAGCGATGCCGTGTCCTCAACGCTCTCTTTCTCCCGATCGCGACGTCGACGTCGGTATTGCGCATGCGATGCGGCTTATGCGATGCGGCTCATGCGGAGAGCCGATAGCTCGGTAGCTCACGGGCTTCGCGTGTTGTTACAATTGGCTCTGCTCCAACTTCCCAAAGAGTGGAGCAGGTTCGTGGCCCTCGCCGCGGACAGGCTGCAACTCTGAGACGCCATCCGGCTGCACTACATTCTCGATTGGCACACGGATGCCTACCCACCAGTGGGTAGACTGGCGGGTAGGACTTTTTGCCAGAGTCTGAGGATTGCGATCTCTCTGCGAAGAACAACATTTTTTCTACAACACTATCGACAACTATAGAGAATATCTAAAAGTCAAGTCCTGTTTGTCTGTAACATCTGCACCAGACTCGTATACTGTGACAGCCGACTCTTTCTCAAGTTCGTCCCTCCTCTTGTTCTCACTCCATCCGTGGAACCAATAGTACGCCATAAGCAAGATAAGAAGAACCCAATCCACCACGGAAACAATCAAGCCGGCAGTATACCGAGGCGCAGTCTCCGTCGTCCACAGCTGCGGGAATCCAATACAGCCAGAACAGTAACCAACAAAATACATTGTATTGACGACGGATCTCTTCGTGTTGCCCCGAATATTAGACGCGTTCAGACTCATGGTCAGCGAGAAAATACTCGAGATGCAAGAGCCGAGCCAAGCCGCTATGATTATGGGCCAGCCTTGTAGAGGTAGTACCAGCAGCATAATACATCCGGCTAGGGGTATCAAAACGAGTCCGATTATGACAAGAGAACGTTTCTGGGGCCATATCAAGCACGCGGTGATTCCAATCCATATGGCTACAATCTGAACCGCTCCGGAGGGCGATCCGTGCAGTAGAGTGTCGCCGGAGGTATAGCCGAGTTGTTTGATGATCAAAGACGCGAACTTTTAAGAAGACTTGTTAGTGCGAGAATAACGTCTCCAAAGGGCTGACTTACAGTGAGCACTGGAGCCGGAGCAGTGACGAGGATACCGAAAGCAAACGCAGCATATGTCTTGAAGTCGAATGCAGCCTCCTTGAGTTGTGCCATAGAAAAGGATGTCTTGTCGCCGCCGTCGTGATCTTCAGAGAGCCGATGACGAGCAGCGACCTTCTCTTCCGCGGTCAAAAACCAAGCCGTATCAGGACCGTCGGGCATGACGAAATAGAAAACTACTCCGCAGAGCGAGGTGAATATCCCACAGACAAGGAACATAAGTCTCCAAGATGCCAGCGATGATTCGTTGTGTTCTCCGATGCCGTACATGAGTAGAGAGCCGACGATTTGCGCAAGAGCATTGCATGTAATCCAGCAACTATCACACATTCTGTTAGCTTGCCGTCTCTGTTCTTCTTTTCTCGCGACGTACCCTATGCGTAGCGCATGCTCGCTTTTCTTGTACCAGATGCTTGTAATGGTGATGAAGGCTGGACTGACTGCCCCTTCTGCTGCTCCTAGAAAAAAGCGCACAGCTAAAAACTGATGGTATGTTTTTGGAGCGGCAAGGCACATGCAGACTGCGCCCCAGACAACACTGTTGAAACTTAGTCATGGGATGCATAATCTAGCGATAATAGACTTACATTGTAATTCCAACGAACTTGGACAGTCTGAAGCGGCTCATGAGGTAGATGAACGGGAACTCAGAAGCAAGCTGTCCAACGTAAAATATGGAAGAGGTCCATGCGAACTGGTTGCCCCTCAAGTTCAGGTCGGTGATAAGACCATACACTGATGCATAGCTCAGGCTCTGCTTGTCTAGATCTGCTCATTTGTCAGAGATATGTTCCTTGGTCGGAAATCCTGATCTTACACTGGAAGAAGAAAACGAAGCACATCTGTATCGATCGAAGTTATAAGCTTGTATCATCGCAAAAGTTGCACTGGGAGCGTTACCATTGGCAAAACTACCATATCAGTCTTTTTGAGGACGCGTTTTTCCAGAGCCAACATAGCGAGATCTTCAGTCTCTGAATTTGACTGAGTGTCATTGGCCAAGGCGATATCTGGCTGTGTCTTCTCATCGCTGGCGATGTGACTTGCCATGTTGGCGTCGAAGGCAAGTACGAGATTGACGAGAAATGCTAGAATCTGTTGAAGTACAGTCCTACTGTCCAACAACTTCAAGATTCTGGTCACGACAAGTAAGATATATGGATAGTCAGGATAAGGCGTATCGTCGCTATCAGGCTACTTTGCCGAACGTTGGCAGGGATTGAAGCCGCGCGAAGCTAGACGCCGCCTGTGCCGAACACAAGTCACACACGCGATACTATCTACCCAGTGAAGCATGGAGAGATAAATGTGCCGCTATCGTATTCTGCATAGCGCGCTGAGCACGAAGGTATGCGACGATACATTTCTACACTTGTGGCGCCGGAACGCACGAAGTTTGGTTTTGCCAGGAGCTTGGAATGCGGGGAGTTATCCACAAAGCTAGCAGCTCACTAGCTAGAAGGGCCTACTTCTCAAAGATAGCACATATACCCGATGCTAAAGTACGACTCGGGTCGGGTATCTGTACCCTGACCACGGGTAAGCTCCAACTTCCAATACCCGCGCGGATGGGAGACGAACAACAGCACGGCGCAGACCCGTTCAATATCCACAACGTTCGGAAAAATCATTGACTATCAATTGAGTAAGCAGAACGAAAACCCGGCATGATCTGGTGCCTTAAGATAGTAAAAGTGATATCGGTTCATTTTCCTGGCTTTCATCACCCATTTCCCGCTGTTTCTCACGCATTTGTTACCGAACATATCCCTTGACGCCATGGTATCTGCATCTTCATACCACGGACAACTGCTTAAGCCGTGGACACCTCCAGCACAAAAAGCCTATATCTTCACCAATGTCAACCTAGTGGATGTCGAGGCCGGCGTAATCCACGAGAATGCTACTGTCAAATTGTCCGGAGGACGAATCGAACAGGTCGAGCTTCAACACAGCTCCGAGGGTATGCTCAAATCGTCCAATCTTGCTGACGTCGCGACACGAGTCGATCTTCGAGGAAAATACCTCTGTCCGGGATTGTTCGATTGCCATGTCCACATCATTGCAGTACCTGGCGAAATACAATGGCAAGATACTAAATCTCTGAACCCAACGACATCAGCCTACAGACACGCGCATGTTTGTAAGCAAATGCTCGATAGAGGCTTTACCACAGTAAGAGATTACGGCGGAGCGCAATTGTCTCTCAAGCAATCGATCGAAGATGGTCTTGTGCAGGGACCTAGATTGTTTATCGCGGGCAATTTCCTAAGCCAGACAGGCGGGCACGGAGATACGCGAGGCTCCCACGACCACTCAAACATTGAATGCTGCGGCGGCGGCTCATCAAACTTCCCATCCTTTATTTGCGACGGTGTGCCAGAGTGCTTGCGCGCAACGCGCGAAAACATTCGAACCGGATCCGACTTTATCAAAATCATGGGGGGAGGTGGTGTTTGCAGTCCGACAGACCGTATCGACAATGTTCAGTTCACGTCGGAAGAAATCAGCGCCATTACAACAGTCGCCAAAAACAGCCAGACGTATGTGACTTCTCATGCGTATACCCCGCAATCCATTCGGCAAGCGATGGAGAACGGGGTCATGGGTATCGAGCATGGTAACATGATCGATAAGGAGACAGCAGAGTTGATGGCCCAGAAGGGCGCATATCTCACCCCAACTCTGGTAACCTACACCGCGATGGGCGATGAAAAGTTTGCTGGATACATGCCAGCCGAGTCCATGGAGAAAAATGCGGAAGTATACGTGGCAGGGCTGCGAGGTCTTAAGATTGCTGCGGACGCTGGGGTAAACATATGCTACGGTTCTGATCTTCTCGGACATCTCGGCGTAAGCCAGCTCGATGAGTTCACCATCCGAAGTAAAGTACTACCTCCTCTGGCAATCTTACGAAGCGCGACCATCACCCCCGCCAAGATGATGCGCCAGGAAAACTTTCTGGGGCAGATCAAGCAAGGCTTCGCTGCGGATTTGCTGATTCTGAACGCAAATCCTTTGGAAGACATATCGGTTTTGGCACAGCCGGAGAGAAATCTCTTGGCTGTCATCAAAGACGGTAGAGTGTGTACGAGTAGATGGACCTTGCTTGATGAGGATGCTCACGAGGTACGGCCGTTTATAGAATAAAGTGTATCGGATTCCTTAGATCGAATCTGATGTTTTTTTGCCTGGAGTTGTGATGTTGCCTGTGCGATACATCATGAGAACACTTCCACGAATCTTATAGCCAGCCCGATAACAAATCTAAACCCCTCTGATAACCAATTCCCTCAACTCTTTGTGAAAGCATGCAATGTCGTCAGAGACCTTCAGTGTGAGATCAAGATCGGATGGGTTGATGCGAACGCGCTCACTCCAAGAGGCGTGGACATTCGCCATGGCTCAATGTTGAAGTGATCTTAAATGTTCTCTCCGACTACAAGTATTGCATCTTTTGTCATCTGCATTCGTCTCATCGTGAGCTTCGAGCGAGGGCGTGTATTGTAGGCGAATCATTGAACACGATGCGAGATCAACTCGCAAAATTCAGTTCCTACGAAATGACCTTGCGCTTCGCACTTGACAACTTGTCACATTGACGCAGGTCGACTTCCATCAGAGGGTGAAGCTTAGGTTGAAGACCCTTCTTAAGGACTGGGCCTTCGATACAGTCAAGAAGCACCACGAGCATTGGCGCAAGGCGAAGTTCGACCGCTTCGTCGCAGCCCATCCCGACAGACCGATGCCTCCAGCTTTGAGGACGAAGTGGGACCGGCGGAACCCGAAGCGATATCGTAACCTGGGCAGACCTCTCGACTACGTTCTCTTCGCTCTGCGCACCGAGTACATCGGTCTTCTCCAGCACCGACGCGAGTTGTGCCGATCCAAGATCGACGACTCGTATTGCCGCTTGTGCAAAGACCGCTTCAAGGGCAGACTCGAGACGGTGTATCATCTCCTGCATTGCTGTCCTGCGCTCAAGCCACAGCGGGACAAGCTGCACGCCGAGGTCTACGCTACCGTTCGCGAGATCAGGAACCCACACGACATGAGGCGTCTCATCCTTGACAAAGCGCCCAAGCTTGTCGCTCAGTTTGCTCTCAGGTATTTTCCTATCGACCAACTGGAGTGGACGCGGACACACATGTTGGATCTGCTCTCGGAGCAGGCAGACGATGGCGGCGATGGCGATTGAGTGAGTTTGTGGTGTTGATGGTGGTGGTTGTGATTGATGGACGATGTGCGTGTAGGTGTTGAGGAGGGTGTCGCGATCGCGCGGATGAATGCTTTCCTTCTGTTGCAAGTAGATACGGCGGGGCCCGGGCATGCTTGGCTGGTCGGAGCTGAGGTGTCGATATGATGATGGTTTGCGACGAGGCTTTGTAGCATAGTTGTACTTCCGTAGCGAATCCATCCTTTACCTGCCTAATACACGTCACACACGCTCTAAACGCTTCATCCACGATACAAATGTTCATACGTTCTATCGTCTATCGTCCATCCGATGTTGCATCCTCGGTGCCGTCCTTCAAGGTGCGTTCGCCAATCCATACCTGCCCACTGTGATACACCAGCCTTCCCAACTCACCCCGAGGTGCGAACCTTCGCCTTCATTCAGTGGGGGGTTCAGATCTTGTTTCCGTCGTTTGTACTGCTAGAGTCGTCCTTGCCGACTTGACTACTCGATTACACGCCAACTACTTTGGAGATGAGTTGTACTAACAGCGCAAAGCAGCCTTATGCGTCCGTCCGAATCAGCACCTGCACGTTGTACGGAGCGAGCATGTAGTTCATCCTCCTCCAGTAGGTGCACTCTTTTCTGTGAACGTCGTGGCTGAGGCTAACATACTTGCTACAGGCGTTCGACGTTGCCAGAGAATGACACCTGACGCATGAACCGCCGCTCCGCTAGAGTAGGCTGGTATGTAGAGAGTGTCATCCTTGTCAGCAGCCCATGTACCATCACCTGCTCGTTTCGGATGAAGGCTTGGGCTGCTGGTGTGAGTCCTAAGGTATGGAAGGCTCATTATTTGTGGTAACGAAACTCTTTGCTAAATCTCCTTAAGCAGACGTCAGCGGGACTCGCACAAGATGTAGCGAGTACTCACCTTGTTGGGTATCCACATGGTGGGCATACATCTGTAAGTCACAACTAAGGGACGCATTCTGCATTGGCGTACTAATCCCATCTAGTCAAGTTGCGCAGAAGCTTTGCATATATCCCCTGGCAGGGGAGATACCAGAGTGCCTGCAAGATAGCTGATCGCTCGAGAGCGGCATTTCCGGCCAGAGGGGCGGTGGCGACGGTAAGTGTAGCGAAGTCGTAGACCGGATTCAGAACTAACCAATGTAAAGATGTTAAAGAGGATGGCAAAGGCGATTATGGCTGCAGTCGGGTTGTTCGGGTTCTGAATGAGGAGGGCGACGGACTGGGGAGTGAGGCGCACCAGTAAGCCTTCTTTGCTATCCAAAGCGATGCGGCGTTGCTAATGTCTAGTTGTGTTGTGTATGAGAGAGGAAGAAGAGTTGCGAAGACGAAGCTTCTATACTCTCCTTTGACTCACAGTAAGTTTCCATCTTCTTGTTCGTCAACCTTCATGCATTGCTTTCCGTCGTGCCCAGATTCGCAGGCAGCTGACAAGGTGGCGAAGCAGTGTGTGCGAAAATCTCGAACTCTGGTCCCATCCCATCCCATCCCATGGTACCGCGATGACCCATCAACGAGTAAGTATGGTTGGACTGCGCCCAAAGATGGGAGAGGAAGCTGACAGGCAGCGCACAGCGAGCCACTCACGACTCCCGCAACACACACGAGATACACGATGACTGAATCCGCCCATTAAATATGGAAGGGATGCGAAAGAGGTCGAAGCTAAGTTCTACTCAACCGTGTTGGGTAGGCGCCTTGCTGCTAACGTGCGCAGGGCGGTCCTCAAGTTGCAGCCTGTCCGTCGGCGAGGGCTACGAACCTGTTCCACTCTTTTGAGAGCATGAGCAGAGCCAATGCAACACACGATTATTTCCATAACAAACAGTCGTATGCGAAAGTCGCAGCGCAGCGCAGCGCTTGCGCAATGCTCTCATCGGCGCGGCGGTCGACGCACGCGGGCTACCGGAGCCTTGAGATCGATCGATGCGGGGTGCCAACGGGCACTGGGTGTCATCTTGGCGCCGGCGCGGGACGGTTGGTGAGGGTGAAGGTGAAGGTCTATCGCGAGGAGATCGTGAGGTAAGTCAGCTGATGTTGAGCGGCGTCTGGGCTCGGGTGTGGAGCAGTCGATGGTGGAGAGTCAAGGATGCGGTGGGGGATGGCGGAAGAATCAGGCTGACAGTGAGATATCTTTCAGTCCGGACGGCGGGTGCTAGCCAAGCGGGCGACGATGGTGAGCGACGATGGTGAGCGACGGTGGTGAGCGACGGTGGTGAGCGACGGTGGTGGGCGACGATGAGGTGGTGTCGCGCGTGAGAGCGCGCGTCATCGGAGATAAGGGTGGCGGAGTTAGCGCAGCCGCACTGCGGCAATAAAGAAAGAGCTCCCACTGCCAAACGTTATGCTTTGTTGCACGTCGTGATATGGTTTGCATAAGATGAACGCATAAAACTGTAAAGATCATGCAGTGGATGGTTCGTTGAGTAGCGCTGGTGAGTCACCGTCAGAGTCACCGCGAGGAGTACGGGCGGCTCTCGCTTAGCCAATCCGCGGTAGTCTGTTGCTTGCGCGAACCATGGTCCTTCATCGCAGTCACGCACCGCCTTCTTCTAAAGGAGATTGCTCTACAGTCACCATATATATATACACCCGATATCTCCCTCCTCTCTTTCATATTGCTTCCCCTTATGGCGTCTAAGAAATTCGCCCACTGGAACGGGTTTCCGTTTATGACTGCGCCACGGACAAACTATTACTCCGCACAACTACAATCACCTCTCTTTCGCCTGCCTCGAGAAGTTCGAGATGCTATCTACGCTTACTATTCTCTGGGCCAAGACGGCTATCATTACGATAGCGAGACTGGCAAGATGCTCTACACGGTCGAGCCAAGACAAACGGTCCATCTGGGTCTGATGATCACTTGCCGAATTGCACACGAAGAGCTTAAGCACATTGTCTTCCGAAAACTCCAATTCAAGACACATCATTCATATGATGAAGGCCTTTCATATATGGGCGTACGCTCACGTGCAGGTCGTTTCAAGTGTAGTAAGTTGCCCATTAGCATCTAACCGTACCCTATCGTCACTAACGCTATATACCTGTAGTGTTGAGACTCGTTGAACGACAGAAGCGACGAATGTTAATCAAGGTGTTTGAGCTGCTGCAGCCTGACGACTTACACGAACTGTATACTCGCTTCCCTACGGTCAAGAGATGGTTCGATATACCATTGCGGCAATCAGTGGTTGAACAAGTCGACAAACTGGCAGCGACCGAGGGCTTTTCTGGGGACGAGGAGGATCATGAACTCTCTGAAAGCGCATTCGCACACGCACTGCAGTATGCTTTGGTATGCGCAAAGGATCGCAATCGCGCAGACTTTGTGAGACTTACCCGTGGTCTATTTGGCGTAGGACAATGCCCTATCGACCGGGCAACAAACTATACACAAAGCAACATATTCGAAGAAGGTGCGCTGTATGAAGTGTATTCCTGGAACCCCGAGCCTTGGTCCCTTCCAGACGATGCTGAATTGGCTAAGCTGGAGGCTCTTCTCTGCGTCCCGGGCGACACGGACACTCAGCTTCCAACTAACGACGAAGGCACCTTCTACTTTCCGGATCTGAATACGCACATAAAAGCAGCTAAGGAGCGATGGTTCTTTTCTGCCGCATCTATTGCGATAGATTTCTGTGAGTCGCAAATGACGCAGCTTGAACGCATACTGCGAACGCTCGCTAACTTTTACAGTGAGACGAATGTCACCAGAGAGAAGGCACAACATGCGCACGATAGTGCTCAACGAAGACTTCAAAGCAGTGTCTCGATCTGAATGCCATGCTGAGGGCTTGATACCATTCTGTCGCGAGAATCCAGAACTCCGCGTAGAACGGCGCATCAGCCTGGTTGCCAATGTCTTTCCAGAAGAATTCCAATGCCCCGTTGCCCGCGAGCAAATGTTTCGGTGGCTATTCGTTGAGGATTGCTTCAGACTACTTATACCTTGGATCGAGGAAGCCTTGAGTCTGCCTTCCCGCGGGATGCCCCCTCGCTCTTTTACCCTGGTCATTGACGGATCGACACAAGAAACATCGGAGATGTGGAGACTATTGCTATATGCTGCAGCCACACAGGAGGCGCGTCTTGAGCAGTGCAGGCTCAACGGAACCGACCTTCATCCCCGGCCTCTCCTCCGGTATTACGAGGACTTCTGGTCTCTTCCTAGCAATTTCGCGGAAACGATTCGAGACATCGTGGCAGGCACATCAGTCGTCAAATACGAAGGAGAGGTACACGAGCCGTGGGATCAGGATGTGTTCTCTTTCGAACGCAGGGACTGGACTGAAGAGCAATGGTATAACGACTGGGAAATTAATGTCCTCCGCCAGCGGATACCGTCAAAGTTCTACGTGGATGGAGCGCTTCGATACCACGTCACACCGTCTCCTATCAGAACAACGCGACAAATCGTTAGACATGGAGCGACCCGTTCGAGTGAAACTCAGCCGAGTGTGTAAGTGGTACGTTAGCTTCATGATAACCCATGCCCGGCGGTTGTATATTACGATCTCCGTACGCCTCGAAGAAGATCTGGTACATGTGTCCCGGCATCTACTGTAATATTACCCATGTATTCACCGACCTTTTGATACATAGTTAGATGCATCTCATGTAGACAGCCAACTACGAGAAGATCATCTTATCATATCACTTCCTCCTCTACTTGCCATCATACCCCTTAACCCCCTTGACCCCACTCCCCTCCACCTTCCCATTCGCAACCCCCAAGCTCCGCTCAAACGCCCCCGTAATCCCCATCTGATCCGTCAACACACTAACCATATCAAACCCCCTCTCCACATACCCCCTCGCATCCTCGCCCGAGTTGCAATACATAGCCACCTTCTTCCCCTCCGCATGCGCCGCTTCCTTGATCGTCTCAATCGCGTCTTCCAGCTCCTTATCCATAGTCGGAGTCAAGATAGGATGACCAATATTGTTACCAAGATCAAAGGGGCCGATCAGCAGACAGTCAACGC